TTCCACATTACAGAGGGTGACCCAGATTTTGCTAAGGTGTCACCAGAAATGTTCCATAACCATTTATTGTGAGAAGAGCAATCACAGAGACAAGGTCATTACATTTTTGGAAGGTGTATTAGAAAACAATTTGTCCACCTGTGAGTCTTTCTCCTATTGTGCCTCCTTTATTTTTATATTACTTCCACACTCACTCAGGACCCTTCACTGCTGGCACATCTGGTCACCAAATGTGTGGAGGTTTTCCCCCACAACAAGTAACTCTCTGTGACACCAGCTGTGGGTCCTACAATTCAACTTATATCTGATACTAGCTACCCAGAGATAGTGTCAGATCCCACAGGGATAGTATTAGCGTCAATCCCTCAGTGTCACAAGACCACCCACCTCCAACTTCAGATGCCAGTTGCAAATCTAGATTGCCACATGTGCTTCTGACAGATTGGCTATAGATTGGGAATTCCAACAACTCCCTCCTTGGACTTCAGACGCCAGTCACAAGTCCAGGTTTTTACCTGTCTTTCTGACTGACGCACTATGGATGGGAAGTTCCCACCACCTCCACCCTGGTCAACTTGCTAGAGTTGTTCACAGAACTCAGAGGAACATTTTACTAGATTGTTGGTTTATTATAAAAAGATCTAACTCAGGAACAACCCGATGGAAGATAGGCATAGGGCAAGGTATGGGGAAAGGTGTGGAGCTTCCATGACCTCTAATGACAGGCCACTTTCCCCAAATCACCATGCCTTTACCAACACAGAAGCTCTCCAAACCCCATCCTTTTTAATGGGGTTTAATGGAGTTTTAATGGGTTTTTAATGGAGGTTTCATTACAGAGGCAAAATTGATTACATCATTAGCTGTTGTTGATTGATTCGACCTCCAGCCCCACTCTCCTTCCTGGAGGTCAAGGATAGAAAGAAAAATTCCAACCCTTTAATCTCACGGTTGGTTCTCCATGCAACCTTAGGTACAGTCCACAAGGTATTCATTAACATAACAAAAGGTAGTTTTATGGCTCTTATCACTTAAGAAATCCCAAGGGTTTACAGAGCTCTGTGCCAGGAAGGCGGACAAAGTCCAAATATATATATATTTCTTATTATAAATCACAATATCGGGGTACCTGGTGGCTCTGTCAGTTAAGCATCTGCCTTCAGCTCAGGTCATGATCCCGGCGTCCAGGGATAGAGCCCCACGTCGGGCTCCCTGCTCAGTGAGGAGCCTGCTTCTCCCTCTGCCTCTGCCTGTTGCTCTCCCCGCTTGTGCTCTCTCTCTCTCTATCAAATAAATAAATAAAATCTTAGATAACTAAATAAAATAAATAAGTAAATAAATCACAATATCGCAAAAGGTCTTTGCAGGTAAATGTCATGGTCTATCTATTCTCGAGGGAACTGGACTTTGTTTCTTTGAGACACCACACCATTTTGGCTCACTTGAATATATTGAAGCAGAATGGTAAGGCAGAAGAGATTGAAATGAAGAAATGAAGGGGCAAAGGGAAATTGGAAATTATGAAGTCTTTTAACTTTAGTTTTGGATCTACCTCTTACCCCAGCTGACCTTAGCAATTCTTGGTCGATTTGTGAAACAATCACAGTAATCCGTGTGGGAGTGGGACAGTATACCTGTACCCCTGAAACAAATAATACATTATATGTTAATTAAAACAAATAAATAAATAAAAATTGAGGAAAAATAAAGGCACTGTTGGATAAGCAAAAATAAATAAATAAATAAATAAATAAATAAATAAATAAAAAGTAGCCAGGAGATAATGTTTGTAAAGTATCTGTATATAATAGATGATCAGAAACTATTGCTAGTCGTTATTCCCAGTCATCATCATCAAACTCACACATGTGAATTGCTTCAATTTATAGTTAATTACCGTGCAACACAACAATGATAATATAAGTTATTAAAGTTTATCCAAGCTAATGTTTATAATGAATTTGGCTAAATTTCAGCAATGGGCTCTGTCCATATGTGTTTATTCTTTATATTACCTGGATCATTTATTCACAATTTTCAACACCAGCGAGAATGACCTTGAAAACCTCTTGAATTTATGACATTATTTTTTTTATTTTTCCCTCCATTTTAGTAGGTAAAGGGGAGAGTATAATTTATTAAATGATAAAAAGTGTTCTTAATGTCACCCAATCAGAAATATTATTGCCAATAGTAATACTTGTTAGCTTCATTCAGTAACAAAATGTTACACTTAATAATGACACCAATTATTATGTGTATAGAAAAGAAAAAAACAGGAGGGATATGCAGCAAATTACCTGAAAATGGTGTTTTCTTAGGAAATCACAGCCTAATATCAGGAATTATTTCTCCATTTTTTCTCTTTCCATGTGATATAGTTTTATACCCTTAAACTTGGCATAATTCCCATGTTTGACATTTGTAATTAAAAAGTTAAAGGAAAAGTAATTATTACTTTTAGTCCTTGGATATGCTTGACTTTCTGGAACCCTGACATTTTGTAAAATAGACAAAATTTTCTTAAAAGTGAAGTACTTCCCCTTACTGTCAAAAGTTTTTACAGAACAGTGAAGAACATGATGAGATTAGCTTTTCCTGAGGCCTACTTACTTCTTAGCAGTAAATTAGGCATTCAGTATATACTTTTTAGTTGTGCTGAGGGCCCAACTCTTTTAGGTCTTTAATGCTTTGGTTTAAGAGTGGAATGAGTTAATATACTTCCATGAGTAGAATTGACTCAGAGTAGACACACTTGTAGACAATAAGAAGATTGTATTATTTTTTTTTCTCTTCAACTATACAAGGGACCTTAAAAACCTTAAAACCAATCAAAATGGAAATTGCTGTTTGCTATTTGGGGTGATACCAAATTATAGACTCTTTGACCTGGGATGGGATTTTTTAGGCATCATCTGGTCCAAATCTCATTTTTAGGTAAAGAAATAGAAGCCTTTAGGGGTTAAATGAATCTGATTTGTAGTAATGCTGTTAGAATGAATGCCACTGGAGAAAAATGAGTTAGTTTAAATTAAACTTCTGTGGACAGATCTCAGCGTTTTTCTCCTTGGTGTATAAAATGATTTCCAATACAAGCTTTAAAATTATTTTGTGAGTTTCAAAGTGCTGGAGGTAAAGTTTTACATTTGTTATGCAATCTTCTGAGTCATTTGGGACAAAACAGTGAGGACCCCTCCCAAATTTCAGCATAGTAAATGACTTTTCCTTAAAATAACCATAAAGCTAATCGTTTTAGTAACTGTTTTTACAGTTTTAAAGTTCCTGTCTATTCCCGAGTGCACAAACCCCACAATGCTGTAGATGTGCCGTTAAGATCTGAAGAGTGCTTGAAGACACTTGGCTGTAAAGAAGGGTCATGGAAGGTGGAAATCACAGCTTAGGATCAAAAGTTATTTCTCCATTTTAGACTTTCAATTAAAAACAAGAAACCGCTAGAATAAAAATGTTCCTTCAGATCAGATGTGCCGGGCTTCCAGTACCCAAACTCCATTTTTACACAGATGGGGAATGTGAAAATTATTCAATGTTGATCTTATAGAATTTAGTCCAGAATGCCTGACTTCTAAGTTAATGCTCTCTGGGTGGTAATTCCTGTAAGATAGAAATGATCAAAAGCAAATTTAATGTTGAAAACAGGTATGGTTCCTGAATTTGGATGAGAAAATAGATTCATGTGTATTGAAAACAGGAAGGGATACAGTTGTGGTGAGGGTAAAAGTAAAAAGGGTTGAGTGTCCGAATTCTCCTGGGGCGTCTCTACTTGTCAACACCTGGCATTGTCTTTTAAAGATCACCACATCTTTGGGCCTGGTGTACAACGATAACTGGACTTTGGTCCCCAACAGCTGCATTGCTGATTTATCTACATCCGCGATTCTCATCCATCCTTTCATCCTCTTTAGAAAGGAGATTTATGCCCCTTCTCCCTCCCAATTGTTTGTCTGATATATCCTCTTTTTGGCAGAATTTTTCAGAGAAAAGTTGGTTCCAGTCCTTAGGAAAAAGCAGAACCATAATAATTGAATGGTTTAAATCATATGTTGTTTAGCCCTTTGTCATCCATAACTGGAACTTTAAAAAGCACACACACACACACACACACAGTAATGAGGGAGAACTCAGCAAAAATGTATAGAATTGCTCAAGTCCTTAAAACAACAGTTCTACCGGGAAAAAAAAAAAAAGAATGTAGGAAAAATATCAAATTTAACCATTATATCATGAGTATAACTGTTTCCAGAGTTTTATGAATGGGTATTCAGTTTTGCAAACTGATGACAAATTGTCTGTTCTCTATGTCAATTTTCATCCAGATGAGCTTTCATCAGATAGCAAAGTCAGCTATACTCCTGGTTGTTATGATAATTTGAATCCGGGAGAAAGAAAATACCATTTTTTTTATGAAGTACAAAGCCCAAATTAAATACTAAGTTTTATTACCAATAACCCGGGATAGGAGACAGTAAAGCACAAGCCATATTCCCCTTCTGGATTGGATACCCATCCAGCTGAAGCTCCTGGCACAACCATCTCTGTCCTTTAAGTAATATTACAGGTGATGTCCTTAAGTTATAATAAAAATACACTCTCTGCTTTGACTCTCTCATGGAAACAACAAGGACCAAAGTTTGGCAAGAGACGGCGGCCTCCCTCTCGAAGGACTCTGGAGGGCCATCAGATGTCCCTCATCCGTAGAAAGCTCTCACCGAACAGACAGAATCTAGTTTGAACCACTCCCAAAGAAACTTTACTTTAATGGAGCTAACATTGCCAGGCTGGCTTTATCATATCACTGAGAAGCTCTGAGAGTAAATTTCTCAGCTGTGGTATTTACATTCTTGTCTTCTTTCAACGAAGACGCGCATGATGCGGCATCTGGGATGTCGTGAAACGGAGCTGGCGACAGAGAGGGAGAGCGGCAGGCCTGGAATGGGGCCAGAAAGAAAGCCCGTGGAAGCACTTGGCTGGTCTTCCCGGGGATGCCTGCAGCCAGCCACGAGGGGCCGCTGAGGTCCGGGGGAGCCCTCGCACTAGGTGGCGCATTCGGCTCATCCTTCGAGGCGGATTGGATTTGCCCTTTCCCAAGCCCACAGCTTGGAAACCTCCATCCCTTACACCCGTAAGTACTCTTGAGATTACCTCTGGATAAAAGAGGAGGCACTGAGTATGACTTTCTTCCAAACTCAACTCTCAACGGCCTTGTCTTACTTCACTAGTCTCCTTTTCTCCTTCTTTCCCCTTTTCCCTCAGACCCTTGTACCCGCAAGCCGTATGAAATCAATTTCGGATCAATCACTTTAGACACTAGTCTTCAAGTTTTATTAAAATATTTTTCAACTCATTTCCTTGTTTTTCCCTAAAGGTAAATCACTGAACAAAATGCTCTTTTGTGAACAGTAAAAATAATTTGGTCGGCAAATAGCAGCTTTTCCTTCCAGTTGAGGTTGAGTGGCTTCGGTGTACACTAGAAGCAATGATGCAGCGCTTTATGGACCAGCCACCGCTTTATTTCATGGTGGCGTTTTATAGCGTCCGGCTTCCCTTTCACAGTTCTAGGGGTAGGAGGTGGAGGTAACAAGATCTGTCATCGTGTTTTACGGACTCTCTCTTCTCCAACATTTCCTGAGGTCAATGAAAATCATATCTTATTTCATTTTCCATTGTCTAGCATCACCATCCCCACTGTCCATCCCATAGCTTTTATTTTTTTTTTATTTTTTTTTTTAAAGATTTTATTTATTTATTTGAGAGAGAGAGAATGAGAGAGAGCACATGAGACGGGGGAGGGTCAGAAGGAGAAGCAGACTCCCTGCTGAGCAGGGAGCCCGATGCGGGACTCGATCCCGGCACTCCAGGATCATGACTTGAGCCGAAGGCAGTCGCTTAACCAACTGAGCCACCCAGGCGCCCCATCCCATAGTTTTTAATGGAAACAACCTTCCTGCATAATCTTCCATAGACTCTGAAACAAACTTCTGTGCTTTCTCTACATTCTTTAATTTATGTGGTCGTCAAATGAAGAGGTGCTTGGCTTGAACCAAGATTGGACACACTTTGGGAACACTTGAAAGTTGTAGTGACATTGTGCATTTGTATAGCACTCTGTAATTGTAAGAGGAATTTCAGAAAAGGAAGAGCTTAATTAGACCTAGAGATTCCAGTCTGTAAGAATGACTTTATCGCCTTATTGCTGTTTGCTGATAGGTCTCCTTGCTCTTTTGGTATCACACTAAAATGGCATAGTCTTGTGAAACATTAAGTAATTATTTTTCTCACATGGAAAGAAACTAACAGGATAAATGTAATTTTGTGTTACTTAAAAATAGTTTTTAAAAGAAATTGTTCAAAAGACTTTAGGAGACCTTGCAACAATGGTATTTTCATATCAAATGTTTAATAACTCAGATTAAGGACAGATTGTTTACTTCCTAGTTTTGTTTAGATTTTTTAATTTTCTTTTTAGGTTGAGCGTCCATGCAAGCTACATGGCATTATGGACTATTTTTTCTCATGAAAATTTTTTGAAAGTACGGAAAGGCATAAAGAAAAATATGAACATTCGTGACTTCACCACCCAGGATTGATATTTAATAACACTTTGTCGTAAGAAAAATAATGTTGAAGTTCCCATTGTGATTCATTGACTTTGCGAAGTATATGTGTAGAAGTGAGAATCACAGAGGTGGGATACTTCTTAACTCACGTTGTCAAGTCTGCTATCCTGAAGTGCCATGCCATGTGAAGAGAGCTAGAGTCAGTCAAACAGGCAAACTCTGACCCACTCTGGCCTTTCCAACGTATTGCCAACCTACTATTTGTTGCTTACTTAAGCTCGCCATAACTACCTGAAGAATGAATACTTCAACATAAACCAGTGGTGCAAATAACCACTAGTGATTACTACTGGGTACTTTATCAGCCACGATTTCATTCCTGAACTGGCACAAATTTCTTTATCATTTTGGAAAGGTTTGCCACTGCTGATAATTATATAGCCTGTTTTCTAGTACGATGAGAAAAATATACATAATCCCTATTCCGTTGTGCCAGTGAAGCAATATAGAGACTATAAATATAATTTCCCCTCTAAGTAAAAATAAAACAAAAAACAACAACAACAAAAAAAACCACTCAGCAACTTCTTTTTCTTTTTTTTTAAAGATAGTGGGCTTATTTCTAAATTACTTTGAAGGTTGAGTATTTAAATGTTAACCTGGGTGCTAGCTCTCTCAGGGAAAGAAATAGGAAGATGAAACAGAGGAACATTCCTAGAAATGAGTGTGTGACCTACGTGGTCCTTACAGTAAATTATACTAATTCTACATTTATGTTTATGTGTTGTGATCCTATTAAGCTGAGATAACTTTTCCATTAAGTGGGCAGGTTGATTTCCTGTAGTACCCCCAATTGCTTGAAGAGGTGTATTGTTTTCTTGTGTTTCCATTACAACATAGAGACTAAGAGGGAATCCTCTGTGGTATTTTCACATAGGTTATGAATCTTTTATCTGGTGGTTGTATTTGTATCGGAGAGGTGAATATTAATAGCCTCTTAGCAGCAGAGTGACTTTCTTAAAAAAGGGGTTTCCCTGTGTATGGGTGGATTAACCTTTCAAAATATATGTTTCTACTTAAACCACTTAGTTACTGTTTGATTCAAAGAGTCATAAAGACAACCTCTCCACATCTCTGTTAGACCTTGTAGTATGCTTACCTAGATCTGAGAGGGACTTTCAGTAGAGAACATGGTGAGTAACGTAACGCCGTGTGCCTTTACTTTCATTTCGCTTGCTTACCAGAGTTTGCTGTATCTTAACTTCTTTTTTAAATGCCTGAGGTTTTCATATTAACATGGCCTGTGTGATTGATGATAAGTTTGGTAATGGCAATTAAGATATGGTTTCATGTATTCCAGGTGGGAAGTAAGATGGAACTTCTGAAATGTAATAATGTGTGATGTTCTCCTTTAAAATTTTCATAGCTTTTACCAGTTAGCCCCTTTGTCCACATCACAGAACAAAGCTTTTGAAATGACACATTGAACTCTACGAATGTTAGCCTATTTATTTTATTATTTCTAGCAATTCTGTAAAGAGTAACTAAATTTAAGTACTTATATGAAAAATTTAACTATGCTTTGTCCTTTCAGTCTGTTACGGGGGTTAACAATCTTGACTGAGGAATAATCAGTGCAGGGCATCAGGCAGTATGTCACCAAATTCTTCATGGTACCATGCAATCATGTTGATAGGAGGCATAAAAAGATCTTAAAAAGTGTATTTCTAAATATAAGGTCACTGGACTGTTTTATTTAAATAGCTAAATGTTTCCAAGGAAATAGAAAAATTAACCTCCTTGGGCGTACTTTAAGTGTAAGCAATCAAATGGACATCCAAGGAAAGTTCATTTTATAAGTCAGGGGCGGACAAAGGCAGACTAAATGCCTATGAGCATAGGGACAGTGTTTCATTAACCTAGTAGCATTAAGCTTCTGGCTTGGCCACAACATTTCTTGCTGTAAAATGCTAAGGGACTTCATTCTTAGGAATCACGGGTCACGCTCTGTTGCAGAAACTCCGAAAGCCCTCTTTTAAACAGCAGAGCATCCACAAGCTGGTAGCATAAGGCTTGCACAGGGCCTTAACGCTATGTGGGAGAAGCAAGTATTTGTAGGATGGGTCAATGTGAACTCACTAATTTCAGATATGCTCTCCTCAGTTTTTTGAGGCAATTTTTTAAAAATCATAATTGTAATGTTTTTTTAAAGTCCAGAAAATAAGGGGAAACATATCTTCTCATTTTCCCCTTTCCTTGTCACTCCCTGTCTCTCTCTTTCTCTCTCTCTCTCTCCGTCTCTCTGTTTCCCTCTCTGCTTGCTTCTATTCTCTCTCTCCACTAAGTCTACATTTTAATTAGTATATTATTGGTTCCCACTACAACTTTTCCAATGAAATTTGTGGCCACTGTACCATTTCCCAATTTAAATGAGGTAAATGACACAGGAATGAGGAAGAAATCATAGTTTTTGAACACGGGAAATTGAATATTAAGCTCAGTTCCTCCTGTTAAAGGAATCTGAAGCACATAGGCGCCAAAGGAATAATACAGGAATTACATAGGAGAGACAGGCACCCCTGTGCCTAGTCGGTCAAGGTCCCTGGCCCCTGACTGTCAGACTCCACTGGGGTTAGGTCTCTTTATTAGGTCAGTGGGGGTCAGGGTGGGGAGGAGAGCAAAGATGCTTACGAAGTTCTTTGTCAGCTGAATACTTCCTGCTGAGGATAAAACCTTAGGCCTCCTTTTAATTAACTTTTAAAAAGTGCTCTTTAATGCTTTATTTTTTAGCGCTTTAACTATCATTTTCTAAGCTTTGTATCCTTATTCAGATTAGAGAATGAGGATCCCTCAGAGGAAAACCTGTGAGTCAGTTGTTCTCCCATCTGTTTAGAGTTGGGACAGTTTGGACCTTCCAAATACTGTTTTCATGAAGGATGAAGGACTTGGAATAAAAGAAAAGTACTTGAGGACACATATGTCCTCAAGTCTTTAAGAAAGAGGCAAAAATTAAAAATGTCTTTCTACGGAAATTGCACAGAGCATAAGTAAAAAATTACTTTTATTTGAAAACACTGCCAAGACTAAATATCCCCACAGTTTTAAAATTAAAACAACATATGGGTGAAAATTATTCTAGTGACCACAAAGCACAGTTTCAACAAATGGGTCCTTTGATTGATCTAAGAAAGTAAAAAACCTTGGATGACAGAGAAATAGTCACAGTGGGGCAGTTAGTACACAGTTAATAGGTTATTGTGGTAAGTAATCGGAGTTATTTATTCTATGCTTTTGTATAAATTCTGCAAGAAGAAACATATTAAACAGCATAATTCATTAAATACATTTGAAGGTAAATTATCCCTTTAACAATTTTAAATTACATCGTAAATTACAAATATGGTGAAATGTTTCTTCTTGATATGAATAAATATCGATAAATAGAAGAGGTTATGTTTTGGTGACTCTAAAACAGATTGTAACAGGTTATATCAGTATATTCTTCAATAGATCGCCATATTCACTTTTTCACCTTCAACTTACAGAATACATGATCAATTTTCACAAACTTTTTCCTAGAAGAAGGTGTTCAAAATCTTCTGATTTTTTTGAATTACAAAAGGCAAAACAGCTGGGGATACTAAATTAAGCCAAAAAAAGTGTGCAGCCTAAACAAAAGAAAAACGTGTGTGCTTCCCTTTTGAGTTTTTCTTGTAGAGAGGAACATAAGATATCGGAACAGTATGAAAACTATCAAATTTGAGTTATAATTGAAAAAATGAGTAGGAAGATTTTCAACTTTAAGGTGTTTAATTTAGACAGATTTCATCCTACCTAAATACGTGTCAAAAAAATAAGATGACTTTCTATTTAGAGATTGTTCTGCTGCCCATCTAAAAACAAGAAAGAAATATCAAAAAACATAAACATTAACAGTAAGATAAGGGGCGCCTGGGTGGCTCAGTTGGTTAAGCGACTGCCTTCGGCTCAGGTCATGATCCTGGAGTCCCGGGATCGAGTCCCGCATTGGGCTCCCTGCTCGGCGGGGAGTCTGCTTCTCCCTCTGACCCTCTTCCCTCTCGTGCTCTCTATCTCTCATTCTCTCTCTCTCAAATAAATAAATAAAACTTTAAAAAAAAAAAAAACCAGTAGGATAAGACTAAGGTGAAGACTATATAGTTAGTCTGAGAGGATCTTAAATTTCACAGGTAAAAACCAAAGCACAGATACTGTAGCTGAACTCCAGGGTCCAGGGGTCAAGTCTCATCTCAACTTTTCATTACTGACAGAAAACATTTGTTAAAGTCCCAGAGCTGAGCTCAGTCATTATTAATTAATTCTTATTATAATTAAAGTCTTTCACTTATTTTTATTCGAGTATCTTGAGATAGAATAGTTCTTTACATATATTTGTTAATCTGGAGATAATCACCTGTTAAAATTACCAGGTTATTTCTTTGTGGTCAAGGGTATTTAGATTTATTGCAATTGCCTGATTTTTTTTATATTTTATTTTTTTAACTGAAGTATAATTAACAGCGTTATACCAGCAGGTGTACGATATAATGATTCAACATTTCTATAATTACTCAGTGCTCATCACTGTAAGTGTACTCTTAATCCCTTTTATCTTACAATTACTTGCTTTTAATAATAATAATAATAATAATATTTTGAAAGTATAGTCTCTGATATGGCTTCTATTGTCAAAAATTTGGTGTTGGTCAGAATACATTCACCTGAACCATATTTTCTTAAAACAAACAACACATCCTTGGTCTCACATTTTCATGATTATCAGCAGAACAATCAACGTTCACAAATAATAACATATGTACTAGCATTCATGTTCCATAAAAATCAATTTCTCTGTAGGCTTTCAGTGAGTTTTAGATATTAAACAAGATTTAAATTCCACCATATTTATTTAGGGTGTACTGAGTAGTCCAACTGACCATTACTATAGTACTAAATAGGCAACTCCAATAGTACTGAATAGACAACTCTAGGCAAATGTGCTTGTAGTGCAGGTGAATTGGAAAGGCTTTCAAATCCAATCTCTTGTTTAATCTTTATGTTCTTCCCTTTGAAGACGGGAAGTATTATCTTACTTCACAGATGAGGATACTGGGGCTCGGAGAGCTTAAATAATTTGCCTGAAGTCACAAAGGTTGTTTGACTCTTAATCCAATCCTCTTTACAATACACATGTTAAGAAAGGTGAATTCATCATTTAGAGGACTTCAGTAGAAATCCACATTCCAAGAATAGTTCCCAAAATGAAGCTGGATAAAGACGCAGAGTAAGCATAGGCTTGTCCTGCTGCAGAATGAGGGACTATTATAAGGACAACAAAATCCTCTCTACAGGATAAGAATTGGCCTTTGGTTGTATTTTGGTGAATCTCTATGATACATGCAGCATGAGTGATATTGTAACGTATATAATCCTAGGATGACCAATTCCATAGAAGCTACGCATTGGAAGGGCTCTTAGCCATTATAATGTCCAATCTTTGCTCATTTCAGAAATGGTGATAAACACCTTATCCAGGAACCAGCATGTTTAGTGACAGCCTTAGTGACCGAATCTTGGTCTCCTGACTCCTGGTTCAGGAACTTTTCCAGTTTCAGTTTCCAGATGTCAGTTTTCCATAGAGAAGTAGTGCAGGTGGCCTGATAGGATTGAGTAATAGAGAATCTGTGATGGCAAAGAATTTTACTTTATTGCTATAAAGCAAAAAGACTTCTTAGAAGGAAATAGATGATAAAAGTCCCCTGATTTGACACCTTTCTCAGAAACATGAAATGGAAAAAAAAAAAAAAAAAACGGCAGTTCTTTTGGGTATTTCTTTCTTTGGGTTTAGCCAAACGATGTGTAGCCAAAATCTTTCTTATTCTTAATTTCCCTCAAGCCATTACTGTAAATGAGAGTGGTGTGTAATTTTCCTCTCCTCCAATTTCTTCCACACTGCAATCAAAGGGACTTAAGTATCTGTTAGATATCGGAATCTTACTTGCTAGAGGATATAAATGAATGAAGACCTAGAACATATGCTTAATTTTTATGACATTATCATATTCTTAAAAACCTTGAGCATTTGCCTAATTTTGAATAGAAATTATCTGAAGTATTTTAATTGAATCTTAGCTTTGTGCTTTTAAATTTAGGTTGGTTTTATAATCACCTGAATATTTTATAGTTCCTGTTTCTAGGGTAAGTGGATTCCTTTTTTTTTTTTTCTTTTTAAAATAATGACTTTGATAGGGATCTATGGGGCTAAAGTTTCTTGAACATAGAAACTGGTATAAGGGGTAATTTAGACAAAGCTGATGTATTGTTAGGAAAGCATATTCAAGATTTTGTGTGAAAAATGTTACAGTTCTTAGGGTGCCTGGATGTCTCAGTGGGTTGAGCGTCTGACACTTGGTTTCGGCTCAGGCCATGATCACAGGGTTGTGAGAGTGAGCCCCGCATCAGGCTCCATCCATACCGAGTGTGGAGCCTGCTTGGGATTCTTACTCTCCCTCTGCCCCTCCTCCCAGCTCTCTCTTTCTCTCTCTCTGTAAAACAAATAAACCTTAAAAAAAAAAGTTACAGTTCCATGTACAACTAACTGCTAGCATAATTAATAGTTTTCAATTCATTCATCAAATGTGGAACATTTAGCATATATATTACAGGCACTGTACTTGGTGCTAGAGATTCAGTTGTGAACAGAACAGGTGTAAAAGCACAGAATTTACAGTCTAGGGGAGAGGAATGGCCTTACTCAAATAATCCTTCACACACCAAAATAGGGAAATTACAGTTATGATAAATGCCCCAAGAGGAAGGTCTATACAGTTCTAAGAGTGCATATTAAAGGAATTTGTATAATATGGGAAGTCAGGAAAGATTTACTTTAAGGAGAAGGTCAATCTAAGAGGGAGAAACTGCTTCAAAGATTATAGCAGAAGGGAGCATGACACCTTCCAGAAAGTGACAAAATTATCTTATGGGTGATAGAGAGGAGGCTGTAAGGTCAATGGGTCAATGGGGGACAAGGGAGCGTTTTTGGCTATCATAATAATTGGGAGAGCTGTGGTGTTAAGCCTCTTGCAATACCAGAAGTGTTCTCACACAACCAAGAACAGTCACCACCTATATCCAGTAAGTACCCCCTCGAAGACATGCAGAGCCCTGTAGCTCTGACAAGGACTTTGGTCACTCTAATGGAAAACCATGAAGGTGTTTTTATTGTGGGGGTCCTGGAGAGAGGGGAGATGACAAGGTCAGATGTATGTTCTGAAAACAACAACAACCTATGCTTACAATGTGGACGGCAGATTGAGGGGAGCCGAAGGAAGGAGGCAGGGCAGTTAGGAGGCTACTCCAGTGGTCCCGGTAAGAAGAAACGGCATTGCCAGTGGCTTGCAAGCATTGGAAAAAAAAACTACAAAATGCTTGAAGTCATTTCTTACCAGTCACCATAATAGAACATGAATCATAAAGAAAGCTTTCTTCGGCCCTTTAGCTCCCCAATTCGTTCTTGAGTTTAGTATGAGCCACTTCATTCTACTTGAACAAGGAGAGCCAAATGTGGAGGCCATGCACCCGTGTCACACTTCTACCCTAAGCGTTAATCCAGTAGTGATCCTGCCCACCATCCCATGCTGACGACAAATATTTGCCAGTGATAGTCATGCAATTTTAGAATTCAAAGAATATTAGAGATAATCCCACCAGGTCTTGATCCTGCAGAAGAGGACTGAAAGCTATCCTTAAGATTTCACATCTAGGTAATTTAGGAGTTGGGACCAGAAGAAAAACATGTGTCTAATGTGGTGCTTTTTTTTTCGTATTTCTTTCTAACTAATAATAACAAGGAACTCAAAACTATTGGCATCAAATAAGCTCATGCTTTGGAAGTGACAAAAGGTTCAGAAAAATACACCCAGTAATTGCTGAAAGTAAACAGAAATTTTTTTAGAAAGGATTGTGTTTTGTTTGTTCACTTTTCTTTTTTGGGGGGGAAAAAAAGGAACTTTAAAGCCTTTAGGCAGGACATTCGTTAACTGGTTCTTCACAGGTCCTCCCACCGAGTGCCACCAATGTATGTTAGCTTCCTGACCCTGCAGGATTTTCCCACTCCTGACTGAAACTACTGCTCTTTTTCTAACCTCCACTTAACCAACTTGGCATGGATTAACCGTGCTGACCATTCTCTATGTAAAACATACAGACTGGTACTCAGGGCACTCGGAATGCTTGCGGCTGAGGACATTCACTTATTTCTGCCTCCAAAGTTGAGTGGGACGTTACACCGAGAGTCAGCCTTGTTTATTCCCCCCAAGTATTTATGACAATCTTATTTTTCTTCCAATTATCTACTTTAAATACAATTTATATAAGCTGATGACATATGAGCACAAAAAAGATAAAAGAATTGTTGTTTCTAAGCAAGCTAATTTGAGTACCCTGGAAACATCCAATAAAGGTGAGTTGCCAAATTTAAATTGGATGCGGGTGAGGCAAATATAAAAGACTGGACAAATACTATAAAGATTGAAAAGCATTGTTTTCAGATAGCTTCGTAAATGTCTTAAAATTTGAATTCCCTTGTAAAGAAACTACAACTAGAATTAACAAAGGATTTGTCATGGGCCAGAAAGCCCATGTGGAATATCATCAGTAGACTCCTACTTGGAAAAGAGAGCTTGCTATTTGATGTGCACCTGGGTATTTTAAATTAGGATAAATTAATATGGTATTAATATATTATTCTTCATGACTCCCAGCTTTAACTAAGCTTTTGATCAACTCACTATCTGTAGGTCTCTTATGTGAATGATAAGATAGCTTTTTTATATATTAGACACCAAAATATCACTTCTAAAAAAAATCAATAAAGTTGCCTTTATATGTAAGTATGTATGGAAGCATATTGCCTTATAAAATATTTATTTTTTATCATATATATAGATATAAGAATAGTAATTTTCAAGATGGTTTAGTACTTACCTAAAACATTCCATCCTTAATGTACTGAATGTGGTTCACATTCGATTTTGATTTTAGTACATGTGGATACTGGAATGAAACAGAGTTTCTAGGTGAGAATTATAAGTTCTAAATAATATGTCCCAAAGGAAAGAGCACTTTATATAGATAAAAATTCCTTGTCAGCTTCAAGTTCTTTCTCTTAAGTAGAGGTCTCCTGCCTTTGATTCCACATATGTTTTGATACATTCCAATGCTGTAGCATGGGCTTGACCAAGACGAAAACTTACACGACGGTGGAAAAATTCTTTGGTAATTTTTAACATGACATTTTCAAGGTCTGTAAGACCTATTTTTGCAGAGTTGACTATGACTGGTAATACTCACATCCTAGTCCTTGAATCTGACTTTAGAAATCCAAGTGTATTAAAAGCGGTCACCACAAATGGTAAAAAGCTCGTAAAACTTGGTTTACTTCCAAAAGTAAGTTTATCCTTTAAAGTTGGGTTATTTTGGAACTGTGGATTATGTAAACTTCTGCTGAAACAATCAAACACCTTATGATCTTCACTGATTTACTGAAATCCATCCAAGAATCCAGGACATCTTTTGGTTAAGTTGAACAGAAAGCAACAGCTGCTTCTTGAGCAGAAAAAAAAAATAAATAAATAAAAATCCCTCCTTAAAAAGAGGAAGGGAGCAGGGAGAGGAAGAGGAAGAAGAAAGCAACCAAATGATGGAAACAGAAATGTGTTTGCTTTTAGCTTAGAGGGATGCTGTCAGCCAATCAGGTACTCTAACTTCTACAGTCTTTAATTGCAAATCTTTCGGTTAAGATTTAAATCCTAAATCTTAAGGTTAAGAGGGGTGAGGTACCCTATCTTTCCTTTATCTTTGTTCTGTTTGGTATTCCGATTCAATTTGCTATAATGAAAATCCACCATGTTCTGTGTCTAACTTGGTTGTCCCATTTAGAATCTGTTTCAAATACTTAAAATGGTTAGCAAGCTAAAAATGTTTGAATTACACATTTTATAAGACATTAATGAACCCTAATCCAAGGTAACTGCAGGGTGCTGCTGGAATTGGCGGTTCTGACTACAGTGTCTGTTGGTTTGTTATAGCGGCTTTACTCCTGTCCGTTTTCATGTCTCCACACCAGCCAATAAAAATTTTGGAAATCCATTCCCTCCTTTTTAGACTGATTTTGTGCTTTTGCTCAGTGAAGAACTATTGAAGAGAGAACTTCAGGAGAATTCCTTATCTTACAGTTTCATGTCACCCTGACTTGTAATTCGTGGAAATAAAGTTCAGAGGCAAACGAATATTTGCTAAGTCTTATGAGACTTTTGAAGTTGTTCATTTTCTCTATGACTAAAACAAATGAGGCACTGGTATTAAGAAGGGCCCCGTGTCCTTAGGGTTGGCTTGATTTTATTTGCTTCCACTTGAAAGAGAAAGTCCTTTAACTGCCAAGGGTCCTTTGCTGATTGTTTTCTTTGTCACTGTTCCGTTGGAAAAATATCTCTATCAGTGGAAATGGATAAACTATTGGAAGTTATAATATGCCTGGGCTATTGGCTTTTCTGATTATCACTACTTGATATTTTGACTTCTATATAGAATAATAACAAGTGTAAAATCTCAGCATATGAAAAGGCTATTTAGAAAGGAAATACAATGTTCAGTAAAGTAATACCTTTCAGATGATAGCAGTCTTGTGTGTTTCCACTGCTTCAGAGGTTTCCTCTGTGAATCCTAAACTATAAAACTCCAAGTCTGGAAATTTCCCTCTCTACATGCTGTTTTGAGGTTGTTTACCACCAGACTTAGTTCAATTAATACAATGTCCTTACCTAAGAAATATACTTTTATGAGTTTTGGGGGGCACCTGGGTGACTCACTCAGTTAAGTGTCCAGCTAATGATTTCGGCTCAGGTCATGATCTCAAGGTCCTGAAATCAAGCCCTGAGTCAGACTCTGTGATGAGCGTGGAGCCTGCTTGAGATTCTCTCTCTCTCCTTCTCCCTCTGCCCCTCCCCCTGCTCAAGCACATGCGCTCTCTCTCTCTAAAAAAAAAAAAAAAAAGAACGAAATATACTTTTATGAGTTTTCATTCATGATGTAAAATTTTTGTATGTTACACTTAAAGTATTTTAGTATTAAAATGAGATCTTCCCTTATTTCAAACTTGAAATCTTGTCCATATAATGCTTGAATATAAAACAACAGTAGAAAATCATGGACTATGAGTTCAAATGGCTTGACATCTAATCCTAGATCCGCCATTACTTATGACCTCTAATCCTAGATCCACCATTACTTATGACATTTAATCCTAGATCCGCCATTACTTATGACATCTAATCCTAGATCCGCCATTACTTAGCCAAATCATTTGTTCTCTTCCAGCTTCTATTTTTTTCTCTTATAAGATGATGGTGCCATAACTCTCAGAGTATTCTCCATGGTTTCAAATCCTATGATTCTCTGACACTCCAGGACTTTTTTGAAATCACCACATTTTGAAAAGTAATTTTAAGAATAATGAAGGCATTGAAGACATTTTTAAGAACTTTTCTACAAATTTATTTTAATTAATCAATTAAATACATTAAAAAAAAAATCTTCCACAAATTAGGGCATAGGCACTTCCAGCAAGTCACTGTTTATCAGGTAGCACCTCATTTGCCTGCCCCCTCGATGCATTTGCAGAATTGTGTAATGTTTCCAGAGTGCCATATAAACAGGGCACTTTTGCAATGTTGCAGAGTTAAAAGACAGCTGTACTAGTTGGTGGTCCAGTTCCTACAACAGGCCTGAAAGGCATCTGCTTTTGTCCAGTGATTGGCTACCATGGAGGTAACAGATGACTTTTAAACAGCTGTTAGGACCTGAAAACAAAACAAAACAAAATAAAAAAAGCCACCCTCCCACACTATGTACAGACAGCTTGCCAATAGCCGAAACAAATCCTTCTAAGATCATTTTAACAAACAACCTTTTTTTTTTTTTTGCTTATTGTTACAACTAAATAGAAACTCATAAAACTCAGACAAGCCGGCTTCATGTTTCCCACAGACCTGAACTGCCTAAATTTTGTAATGGGATCACAGCAATTAGTGGTTTCCAGATGCATTTAAAATGTGTTAAGTGCCTGCAGGAATTGGCTTTTAAAGATACCCAGGTCTTCAAATGCTTCAATCTCAAGGACCTACTATAAGCCCCATGAGGTACAACGATGTCTATGTAATGTTTGACCAAAGTTGGGTGCTTACGTTGCAAGTAATAGAAAAAAACATGGGAAATAAAAAAATTCTGTGTCTTACATACAGTTTTCTTTTTACTTCCTTCTTCTCTTTTAATGGTCATGTCACCAGTTCCCTTATTATCTGAAAATCATAGAAATGATTATCAGCTTTCATTGGAGAAAAAGCTGGAATGAATGGTGCTCAGAGAAGAAAGTTCTTCGTGTCCTGGGGTCATTAGGACTCCTGGAAAACTCATTCCTGGGCTGTGGTTAATTGAACTACAAACATGTCAGTCTGACAACGCTAACAGTTTCTGACTCGTCCATTGAAATGTCCAGCTCTCTTTTACTTGCTCCTGGACAATTTCTCCCTGTCATGAGACTCTTCTATAACTGAAAGACTGAGTCTTTATGTTTATACCCAGTGTTTTACCTTCGGTTGAAACTGGGCAGAAGCAACTTTGTGGTCTGTTTTCTCATAACTGGCAGTGCTGAAAAACAACACATGAGAATAAAAACATGGCTTTTGATGAAACATGTATTTAACAGGTGGTTTTCTCCTCCAGTCACTGACATGGTTATCTTCCCTTGAGACCCATCCAAGCCTCACGTCCTTCATATTTTTTTTCTTTTAGATTCCATGTGGACGACACATAAACAAAAACGAGAAACACGAAGAGAAATTTGTAATGTTCACCAATCAGCCAGAGGATTCTGAAAGGTAATAATGACATTTTATTTAGAGGATGCATGCCTCTAATAATAATGTTCTAACTCAAACACTTCCGCTGTCAGACAAAGATGATGAGCCTATTAAGAGTAGATGAGAACCTCTCTGGATCCAGCCATAGAGAGTAGATAAGAGAAAGAGGGTGGATAACAGTGTGGACTATTTGAATATATTTTCTTTCATTGCTATCTCTGGGGCAAGAATTATGGTAGGTCATGGAGGTTTTTATTTGCTTTTTTGGGGGTATTTGGTAAATTTCCCTTGGCAAGTTTGGGCCTTAAGATAATTTCTCTTGAATAGCAGATATTATCTCCTAGAAAACAACTCTATTTCATTAATAAGGTGAAGTGGTAGCGATATCTTCTCTCCTGAGTTATTAAATCCTTAGTTGAGGGATAGGGTGAGAAATTTACTAAGTCCTTTATCAAAAAAAAATCCCATCTTCAGTCACTTTCTACATTCTGTCAATGCTTTATGGCTTTTCTCAAGCATTCTATTCACTGACCCACATAGTTATTTCTTTGACTTTTTATTCGGCACCTTTTAGATGCAAGATATTTTGCTAGCTACTTGCAGAAGATGACTCAGATACAGACCCTATCCTCTCACTGCTTGCTGTTCAGAAGTAAAAAGCCAGACACATACCTCAGTATAATATACATTCAGCGTTTGCCTCATAAGTAAGGCACATATACACTGCTCTGAGAAATCAGAGGAAGCTGAGAATCCTAGTTGTGGCCATAAAGAGGTGCCAGAAGAAGGAGTTGTTTGGCCTCACTGCTGGCAAAAAGAAGATGGGAGAAAAGATGAAAAAGAGAAGGAAGGAATGTTCCAGGCTGAAGGCAAAATGTGTACAACTATGTCCTCATAGGAAAGTTGAGGACTTGTGTAGGGACCAGTAAGCAGTTCATTCTGGCTTCCACATCTGGCATGTAATACAAAACACATCTTGAGTGAGCGACTAAACAGCCAGCAACTTACTCTGTAGAGCAGTGTTTCTCTGTCTATCAAGACAAAATTTCTTTCAAGTAAAAGTTAACTTAAAGAAATAATAAGACTCAGGTGCATAAGTCGGTGTTTCTCAAACTAGTGTTCTTATAACCTGTAGGTCGGGAGACATATGTTCAGGGTTCTTGGTCTGTGAAAACCTATTCAAGGAAAGGGGTCCGTATGTACTTCCAGTTTGAGAATCATGACTGCACACGAGGGGAGGGAATTTTGAGCAGGGGATTGACAATAGGCTAATCTGGCAACAGTGTTTAAAATTGGCAAGGAGGAGAATTAGAAGCTTGAATAAATATAGAAATGTCAATTTCTCCCATTCCTCTCAACCAGTATCTATAACAAGCATGTTAGTCTTTACTACAATAAGCATTGATCTATTTCATATAGAGTTTCATAAAATGTAAGCAAAATACAAAATTTACGTCACAGGAGTACTCTCGGAATTAACCTATTATATTGACAACCTCTAAGATACTATAGATATTACAGAAGCATAGAATACAACCTACAGTGTTGAACGATTTCTAAGAAAGATGATACCCTCTTCTCCTTCGGTAGTAGAGGTCCATGTTTGCCAAATTTTACCAGTTTAGAAAAGAAAGAAGAAGTACAGGTCTGTGATTCAACAGTCTTACACAATTCACAGTGCTCACCATAGCACATACCCTCCGCAATGTCTATCAACCGGCCACCCCAACCCTCCCACCCCCCACCACTCCAGCAACCCTCAGTTTGTTTCCTGAGATTAAGAATTCCTCATATCAGTGAGATCATATGACACATGTCTTTCTCTGATTGCCTATTTCGCTCAGCATAATACCCTCCTGTTTCATCCACGTCGTTGCAAATGGCAAGATTTCATTCCTTTTGATGGCTGCATAATATTCCATTGTATATTACCACATCTTCTTTATCCATTCATCTGTCGATGGACATCTTGGCTCTTTCCATAGTTTGGCTATTGTGGACATTGCTGCTATAAACATCGGGGTGCATGTACCCCTTCGGATCACTACATTTGTATCTTTGAGGTACACACCCAGTAGTGCAATTGCTGCATCATATGGTAGCTCTATTTTCAACTTTTTGAGGAACCACCATACTGTTTTTGAGACAAATAATACATTATATGTTAAAAAAGAAGAAGGTAGTAGGAAGGGAAAAATGAAGGGGCGGAAGTTGGAGGGGGAGATGAACCATGAGAGACTATGGACTCTGAGAAACAAACGGAGGGTTCTAGAGGGGAGGGGGGTGGCGGGATGGGCTAGCCTGGTGATGGGTATTAAAGAGGGCACGTTCTGCGTGGAGCACTGGGTGTTATGCGCAAACAATGAATCATGGAACACTCCATCAAAAACTAATGATGTAATGTATGGTGATTAACATAACATAATAAAATTTTTTAAAAATGTAAAAGAAAAAATAAAAGAGAAAGAAGAAAAGTGAAGAAAGGAAAGAAGGAAGGAGGGAAGGAGGGAAAAGAGAAAGAAAAGAAGGCAGTCAAACCCACGGTTTCTGTGTTTTGAAGATTTGTATATCCTTCGCTTTTCTTCAGTGTATCCACTCTGAAGACCTCACCAGCCCCGCCCCCCAACCCCCACACACACCATTGTCTTCATGTGGAGAATTATAAGGACTCCGTGGGGTCCTGGGTCTTACTCTGTTTTTTCCTCCTGCAATGCACAGAAATGTTGTGATTCTCTCCATTTACTAATGATGAAAATTACACAGAACTTAGTAGTTACCATATTTTTTTTCTACAGTAGTAAAACATGTATATTTCTGAGAGAAAGAGAGAGAGGTAGGTTTTTAACAGTAATTTGAAATGCTCCAGAGATCGTTTTCAGGTTAACTTTTTAAGGTGTCTGTGACTCAGGGTCCAGAAGAAGGCTGAATGGATGAAGCAGGTACTGCAGGCTGTCTGTCTCAGGGGAGGTGAGAAAGAAAGAAGGAAAAAGGGAGATGAGAAGCAACAGGGCAGGGACAGAAGAGTGAGTGCTGAGTCATCTTTCCCTCTTGCTTTCCTGACGGGGCTCCTTTCTAATCGAACCATTTTAGGTGCGGCAGGGGTAAAATTTGCCCTCTCTTGCAGTACTACCTAGTGATATTATGGATGTCATACCAAGCTTCTTTGCAAAGTAGAGTAAAGAGTAGAGGAATCCCTCCCTGGGATTATCAGAGTAAATACAGTATTTTATAGTTTTTATATCCCTCTTTAGCAGGATCTCAAAGCCTCTTTGTTTTGAAGTACTCTTATAATGTCAGCTCCTCATCTTAATCTTTCTAAGGTAGGTGTTTCTCTGTCTTAACATTTATTTTAAGAAATGTGAGTATTTTTTAAACAAATTATCTGTTCAAAAAATTGTAACCTAGCAAGGAAAACTACTATGATTCATTATAGCCTCAAGTAGAGGTAATCTCGGAAGGATAAAATGAATGTTAAATTCTCATGAAGTGCCTCTTTTACCTGGCATTAAACTTATTCATGATAGCACTCTTTCAAACTATGTAGTCAACACGACTGAATACAATCTCAATCATTCATTGCCTTCTGAGAACAATGTACTGGTTTTAGACGCACTTAAGGAGCTCCTGTGTCTTTCCCCATATTCAGAGTACTCAAATGCCTTTATGCAAAACATTGGTGTACTTTAAGAAAATTAAGCAATAGTTGCTGGGTTTCTTGGTTGTTGGTTTTTTTTTTTTTTTTAATTTTTTTTTCCATATGAATAGTATACCCCCCTCCAGATGCTGTATTTGGCAGCCAAACAGCTGCTGGCTATTAAATGTCCCTTAAAGCTCCATTTTTTTGCTCATAAAGGGAAGAGAAGTGCGGGGACGTTTATGGGGTGACAGGCAGATGTTTTTGCTGGAGCAAGACTATGTATTTGGTAAGAGAAAGCTAGAGTGATCTCTTTTATGATATCATCAGCATTTTTACAATTCTTTTGGCCTCTGTGTTTTTAACTTCCTTCTTACCTGACCCTAAATTAAACTATTTTGGAAAGGCAGAATAAAAGGCTAGCTTACATAGTTGCTGTCCACATTGCAGAGAAGTTAGTGGTACCATCTTTCTCAGACAGACATAAATTATTTTCTGTCCATTCAGATTGTTTCATCAGGTAAAAGAGAACTTGATTTTGAAGGTTGAGTATTTTTAATGACTCACAGAACATCACAGATCATCATAATTTTTTCTCATAAAATTTACTAATTCTTAGTCATGCTTTAAGTAGTGTCAGTATCAAAGTTCATGAAACAAATTTGTCAGTTTTTCATAAATTATAGATAGTCAAACTAGCAAACATTAAAGTCATATTGGATTTCTGGACAGTAGTCTAATTAAGTCTTTTCTCTTTCCAAAAGAAGAATGTGGCATCTCAATTATGTGTTTATGTATAACATAAAATAAAATTAATTTTTTATTGGAATGGTTAAATTCGCAGAGATTTAAGACGTGGGACTTTCTGAAACTTGTGTTTTCAGCCAGACTCTATAAAGCACATTTCAGAAACGCCTCTTCCGTGTAAACAACACCCATGGGATAAACACAGACTTTTTGTTTTCTGAGGCCTCGCTTACACAGAATGCCTAAACAGATACCTGTATTTATCTTTTGTTCTGTCTGTTTTTAATACTTTATCCCTGCATAAACTCTTTGATTCAATGCAACAATCACTTGAAAAATTCCTAGTGTGTGCTAAGAAGTACTGGGGAAATGTTGGTGGAAAGAATACCAAATTAGAATTCCCCAAAGAATCTACTTACCAGTTATCTGGGAAGGACAGATTCTGCCTCTCCGCAGGAAATTTATGTATCCCGAGGCTGTCTCTGCCAGCTTTTATCTCAACAGAAATGTCTTTGAGATTAACTGTGGAGGGACAGAGCTTGCTGGGCAGGTCACAGACAACATGCAGTTAGCTGAATGAGTTATATATTAGTATTCTCTTTCTGCGTGCGCCAACTCTTAGAGTTGCCTTTTTGGC